GAGTTAGATTAAGAATTATATCAAATTTAAACTAGTTTATCAATGCATGAACAAAAAAGCGTTAGTCGTAGACAAAGTGTCCAAAAAAAATTCTCAATCTTTCCCTGACTGTAGCTACAAGTTTGGCGGAAGCTAGATAAAATACTGTGAAGTTTCAATGGAAAGCCCCAGTGACAGGCAGTGTTGTAACAAGTCGAGTCATCAAACGCGTGTTCAGCCATTGCTGAGTTTCAACAATTCGACTCGAGACCAATACGAAAAATTATTCAACTCGAGTCAATAGCTCCAACTAACTCGACTCGACTCTGCCGAAATTACTCGAGTCAACTCAGCTTCAACTATTGTTTGGTCAGGAAGAACAATGTAATTTTTTCTCGATACCAATCATCTGATTTCTGACTCCAGTTGCAATTAAGTTATGCTAGTTGTATATACATTTTGCATGTACAGTAGTACTACACAGATATGATGACTGATGAGACATCTTACGTGGTTGCAGTGATTAATATAGAACTGGTACAGACTATAGCTGCCGGCCGTATTGATATTTGAATGACTAAAATCGTGAATTTGATTGATTACTAATTTCACAGACTGGCAAGCCAGGGTACCAATCTATATTACAGAATTCAGAAAGTGTGCATAGGGTAGACTTGAGTCTCAGTGATCAAATTTATAAGATTTTCTGACCCAACCGCTCAACTATTGACTCGACTTCTGAATGGAGTCATTCCAATTCAGAATTTTCGACTTCTGAATGGAGTCATTCCTTAGAGACCTCCAAGCGACTTGACTCGTGATTCGACCTGGACTTGTTACAACATTGGAATTAACTAAAGGCTCTGTGCCTGTGGCTAGCTAGCTTGTAAGTGAACAAAAAGCTGAAAATAGAAAGCAATTTTTGTTTGCGTGCAAATTGGCATCGCATGGAAAAACTCACGGCACGTGTTTCCACATTATGTCATGCAACATGATTCTGAACACGAATGAATATATAACTTTAAGAACAGATCACACGGCTCATTTGAGAGCCTTCCTGCATGTGCACCAGTTAACGTCGTTATAGTTCTCAGTATATATTAGATTTATTGGAGAAAGACGGAAAATAGTTTTCTTTCAGCAACAATAGTTTTCTTTCAGATAAGCATAATTTATTGTGCATGCATTTATATTCATTTACAATTTCTTTCGGTATATCTGCATGCATGATTAAAATTAATAAAAATAACTGCACACATGAAATTGTCAGATACGAGGTCGGACATGCACGTAATTTTTGTTGGCAATCTTACACAAAACGCGAAAAACAGCGGTCAAATATTTTATATAAATCAAGAAATACATGCATCATGTGTTGTTAAAGCAAAAAGGCCAATCATACATGCACATGTCATGCTAGTCTATGACTATGTGGTAATTTTTCACGGAATTTAGAAAAACAAAATTACTACCTTCAGTTTACACAACCCTCGACACAACCTATAACTATTAAACGACTATAACCTTCCTTGTCAACATTGTCTGTTAGTTGTGAAAAGTTCAATCATGTGTTGTAAGTTTCATTCAGATTTTACGAAATTCGTAAAATCTGAATGATATCTTTCTCATCGACCATTCTTCTGTTATTCTGCATAAAACGGGGAATTGTGAGTTTACATGTAATAGCAGTAATACACTCTTTTTGCTTATTAAATTAATTCGTGAACAGACCTCATCCAAGGGCTGCGCAGAATATATCAATCAGAATTATTCAGACCGAGGTCAGCGTAAGGTCAGCGTTATCTGCCGAAGCGAAGCGGTAGACACTTTATGTGACCTCTTATTATAGTGTATCACAGTTTTGCACCGTAATAATTGGAGCTCATTTTGCTCTATATAAGTAATGTCCATATCAGTAAGCGTTTCCACTTTCAAGGAAATTTCCTTTTTCAAGGAAATTTTGATTTCCAAAAATTCCAAAAGGAATTTTCAAGGATGGAAAAAAATTAAGGAAATCTAAGGAAATTCAAGGAAATGTAAAGAAATATGATAAACAGCAATATATAAAAGTAAAAAACAGTGAAAAGTTAAAGTCTTGTTTTAAAACTGTTAATTGCAGGTACGTATTTTGTGTAATGATAGTTTAATTTCAGAACATTTAACATCATTACATAACATTAACTACATGAAGTATCTAAGGTTTCGCGACAACTGGAGACTGGAACGCGGTACCTATAAAAACATAATATATTTATGCTTAGCATAAATATGCTATGATGAAAATCTAATTATCTAAATCATGAAATGCTAATACAGTGATACTGAATGCACCAGGGGCGTAGGAAGCTTCTAAAAGTTGGGGGGGGGGGCAGGATTTGAGGGGCACTTTTCGAAGAAAAACACACTTTTTCCTAAATACAAAAATATTTTTCCGGACATACCAAAAAATTTTCCGGATATATAATATTTTTCTCGGAAATGAAAAAAGTTTATAAAAATAACATAGATTCAAGTTTTCAAAAGTGCCCTTTGGGCAAAAAATGCAATCTTAACGAAAATTTTTCACGCAAAAAAAGGGCACTTTGCTCCCGGAAAAAGAGCACTTGCCAAAACTTGGGGGGCCTGGCCCCCTGTTCCCCGGTTCCTACGCCCCTGGAATGTACAATGGCAGTGATGGCACTTGTCTTGCACAATTTAACTGCACAATGGTAATGGTTATCAAATAGGTTAATTTATCACTTTGCTGTTTACTTATGGGTCTTATGGGACCTGTTGATACTTAATTAAGTTAAAACACATTATTATGTAGACAACTGAGAAATGTTATTTTTAATATATATTCATGTTTAATATTTATATTTGACAAGGTAGAGAGATTCTGTACATTGTCAAATTGTAATTATGCAGCTCATATTTTTGTCACAAATATTGACGAATTTATTGCTAAATTGATTGATTTAAGAATATTGTATTGATTTCTAACACAAAACACTGCAAAGTTTAAACAAAAAAGCACTGCAAAGATTATTATAGAATATATAATTAAGTAAATTATTAACTGAAAGTTTTCTCAAGGAAATTTCAAGGAAATTCTGTTCCTTGATCAAGGAAATCTAAGGAAATTTTGACACAAATCTTAGGAATTTTAAAATTTAACAGTGGAAGCACTGATATCAGGAGAGGGAGGCGTTTGGCGCGGGGTTGGGGTCAGGGGTTAGCCTTGATACATTACAGTAGGGGTCACACGAAGTGTATACCAGCGAAGCTCTGGCAGATAACGCTGACCGAGGTCTGAATAAGGCGATTGCTAGATAGTATACTTCAAAATAAGGTTTCCGTTTTTATAATGTAGAAAAAACTATCTTAAAACCCTAATACCAACCCCAACCCTAACCTAACCCTAACTTATTTTAAAAATTGATATAAAAACGTAAACCTTATTTTGAAGTATACTATCTAGCAATTGCCGTCCGAATAATTCTGATATCCTGCGTGAGCCGAATTCAATAATTATTTTATTATTCAGAATCTTTAAATTTTCAGAATCTTTGTCTTGAACTATTTTTTCAATTTGCTCTGTTGAAACCGAAGCAAAATGAGCAGAAGCCATTGTCAAAACAAAATAATTTTACAAAATTTCCTGTTCTTTTCCAATTCATGCAAAATACCGCTGCAAAAATACGCGGGCACCTACACGACATTTATTTATCATGTTCACAAGCAGATACAAGATTTATTTGTCATGTTCACGTCTGCACCGAGATACGGAAAATTATCTGTAGGCTTTCAACCAATAAGAATACGAGAAAATAGTACAATGAATAATCAGTGTAATTTATTTGTTTTATATGAACAGGGGGCCGGTTGTACGAAAGATGGAATTCGAAAGGTGGCGCTATATATCCACTGGATAGTGATTTTTCAACCGTTGTAAAATTGTTTCAAATACTATAAAACTACGGATCATGTGGACCTCAATAATAAAATAAACTTTAATTTACAAAAACTGAAGTTTAATCTGAGGTGATACCAATCCAGTGAATCGATAGTGTTATCCGCCCTTCGTACCAGTGGCGTAACGTTATATCAGGGGGCCCCCAGTTGTATATCAAGGCCCCAATAGTAGAAGTGCCAAAGGCACGAGTCAAGCGCCGTATATGCACGAGTTTTAAGCTGGTTTTCCACTTCAACCGTATCGTACCGAAACGTAGCGTATTTCTTTGTTTCCTGACCACTAGAGTGAAACTAATGACTTCGACACAAAAGAAAATGTTACGATACGTTACGATCGAAGTGGAAAACCGGCTTTATAGTGGGTACAGGGCATGCTCACCCGGAAAGTCTGAAATGCTATTTCCCGGACTTTGGGGGAGAGATTTTACAGAACTCTGATGGTCAGAAAACGACATTATAGCATGTCAGAGGCCAATGTTTTTGCTCTACAGCTTGAGCCTGGGGGTCCCCATTTGGCCCATTGGGCGGGTGGGGGCCCCCGGGTTCTCCCTGTCCGAGCCCATAGTAGTTACGCCACTGCTTCGTACAACCGGCTCCAGGAAAAGAAAGCAAATCAAATAAGTAGATAGCTTATCTTTTATTCCCTATTTTTTTGGGAAATCGAAATCAGTTAACAATTATCATCCACACGTATACATATCTATGCAAATAGGAACAACACTATTCCTATTGGCTAATTTAGTCGTCACAGCTTGCCTTGATTGTGATTGGATGGCAAAAAAAAACCAAGATTAAATCACTGAAAGTTCAAAACATTTAGAAATAAATTCAAATGATTATATCCAAACGTTAACAACTTGATTCCCTACATGCTAACATACAAACCGGCCATTTTGGTATGTTTTTTCCAGTCGCCAACAGTTTGTATACTACACGTCTATACACGTCACTTGAAACATCGAAGTGTATTATATTAATCAATTCCCAAGTAGTTCAAATTAGACGATAAATATGGGTGGATTTCAAACAACTTTTCTGTTTCTTTAAAATGTAGATGTCGTCACATTTCACCAATATTTCTTCGACATGCGCGCAAAACCAAGACGGATTTCAAATCCCTTTCTACGCTAATTTTCCTGGCAGGATAGACTTTGATAATATACCGTATATCTCGTCAAGCCTGCCTGCACAAGACCTATCTGAGAATCAATGTTCCGTGAAGAATACAAATGCCACCAAGAATGTGTCTAAAGAACGCAAGCGTGAAAGAAGGGTTATTCCAGCCACTGTGAAAAGGAATCGTCAACTTCGACGAAATGCGAGAGAACGAGAGAGACAATCACGTCTTAATAATGCATTTGATGTACTTCGTGGTGTTATTCCTGACTATTTGACAGGTAAAGGGCCAGAAAGAAAACTAACACAAATTGAGACACTACGTTTGGCACAGCATTATATCATGGCGTTGACAGAACTCTTACAAGACCCTAGGCATGATTCTTCGTGTAATCATCAGTGTTATGGATTGATGAATATATAAAATGCGAACCTAAGAACAAAATCCCGAGTGGGCAAGGAATTCGCGTTCGAAAGACATTGATCTAATAACGACCACAGCACCTCGAGTTGCAAGCACGTTCAATTCCTGAAATTCACTATCCGCATATGCAAATCTGTGAAAAAGTGGGATCTTGATGAACCAGGACTATGAGGAAAATTTTCAATTTTCCCCGCATACGGAAACATACATGCTAATCTGCCATATTTGATTGTGAAGTGTTGTTCAATTTTCATAATATTGAAGACGACTTCGTAATGTACGGTCAGATTTCCCTTGTTTTTACGCACTTAAAGAATATTGAAAAAGGAAATTTAGAATAACGAGGAACAGCTGTAGGATGGGAAAGCGATTTCAATCGAATAAACTATTGTTAATCTGGCATGCTTTTCTCGCAACTGGGCCATATATCGTCATGTTTCGAGCACGAATAATGCTACGCATTAGTACCGGATAGCTTTCCGCAGCGGCGCGAAAAAGCTCCTGTGTCCGATACGAAATGTACAACTTTCAGAAGTTGGGTGAAATAACATCTCTCCGTTGCAATAATTTCTCTGAAAATAGCGTCCCGAAAATGTACGGATAGGTGTTTTTTCACGTCGCTACGGAAATCTGGTACAATATAAACGTAGCCTAAATTTCTCTTTGATCTTGACCCCGATCCCCAACTCTATTGACTATTGTGTACGAATCATGACGATAGAATCTGAAATTGTAAATTCTGTACCATTACAATGTATTGCATGGTGGTGTATTACAATATTTATCTCATACCTAGCGTATTAGCGGCTTTCCTATTGGCTACGAGGAGGTGCGTTCAATCTCGAACCCACATGCTGACGTATGTTTAGGGGGTGGGTTCGAGATCGATGTTTCAGCGGCGGTCATTATGAAGCGATTTGAACAAATTTCATACGAAGATTTAAATAAAAAAGTAAATTAACTGTTTTTAATTGTTTTATAATTATTATTTTTTTATTTTGTTTGATAAAAATGGAATATTCTGTATTCAAAGTGGAAGAGAAGAAAGATGGCCGCCGAAATTTGTTCGGCACGGGCAAGTTTATATAAATCTTGGCAGTGTTTTCGCAGAATGTGTTCATTTTCTCTTTTCAAGAATAAGGGAATATTGTAGAGAATTTTTTTAGCTTTAATTTAAGCCTAAGTTTGTTTGTTTGCGTACTATGTTGGCGGCTAAAATGTTCGTTATCCAAACACGAAATTATATACTATAAATTAAATGCGTATAAAATTCTTCAGTACTTTTTAGTATTTTACCGAAATGGCATGTGATAAAAACCGAACATACTTGCAGGTTCGGTGAGTCCGGGATTGGACGCACCTCGGGTGGTTGGAAGTTTCCCGAACTCACCTCGCTTCGCTTGGTGAGTTCGGGAAACTTCCAGCCACCCGAGGTGCGTCCAATCCCGGACTCACCGAACCTGCAAGTATGTTTGTTATAGTACACTATGATAACACCATAGAGATTATAAATAACACTAGAGGCCAGGAGGCATCGAGGTTAAAAATTGGGAACGCAGCTAATGGGGAGCAAATTCAAGTCCCGGATATAAAATTGTGCTCTTATTGGCTGATTTGAAACTCCTCACCAATGGGAACATGAATACACATCCGGGACTTGAATAGCCGCATTCCTTTTTTGCCTGATGTCAAGATTGCGATGCCTCCTCTAGTGTTATTTATAATCTCTATGGATAACACTGTATTGTAATTTTGATTGAATACATTGATAAACTAAGCTGCTTATTCTTCATATTAAGGGGCTGATTACATGGAGAGTTTTCAGCCCGGGCTGAGTTTCATCCCGGTTTCCCGGGCTGAAATTTCAGCCCGGCCTAAGCATAAAATCATATTAAAACACAGCAAGCGATTACGTGACCAAAATTCCAGCCCGGGCTGAAATTTCAGCCCGGTTTGAGCTGCCCGGGCTGAAATTTCAGCCCGGGCTGAAACTCAGCCCGGCATGCATGTAATCGCAAATAATTTCGGCCCGGGCTAAAAAACAACCGTTTAAATGGCTTTATTTTGCGTGTTTGTTTAATTTTTAAATACTTTACATATAACCACAGTCTCACACAAGTCAAATGGTGGACTAATCAGCGTCTGAATGCTTCAAAGAAGCGTAACACGCTCATTGTCCTATTTCGTGACACTCAGATTATTTCAGCCCGGGCGGACATTTCAGCCCGGGTTGAAGATAAATATAGCTGAGTTGAAACTGCTCATGTAATCGTGATGCAATTTCAGCTCGTTTAACCGGGCTGAAACTCAGCCCGGGCTGAAAACTCTCCATGTAATCAGCCCCTAAAGCCTGGTTCACATAATACTTGGCTCATCCAGGCATGCTTGAAGGACTTATGGAAGGATTTATTATATAAAATTTAAAAGCGGAATATTGTGTATAAAACCTCAAATTACCCCTTATCTTCTGCAGGATTCTCAATACATGCGATATATATTACAACACAAATCTATCGTGCGTTCCAGTTTAATCATTTAATCAATAAAAGGCGTTTTGAATTTGCGAAGCATAATTTAGTCAGCTAGATTTAGTCGTTAAATGGTGGCAGTCCCCACAGTTCTGGATCAAACTCATTCAAAGATTTCAAACAGAGACTAGCATGAGTACATAATGAAGGATCAATTCTGGGGTCTGGAACCATAACAACATTCATATTGGCTGCACGAGCTGCTTGCACTCCATTAGGAGCATCCTCAAGCACTAATATGTTGTCAGGTGACGAAGGTTTGCTGGCGAATCTTGATGCAGCTAATTGAAAGATATCTGGATCTGGTTTTCCATGTTTCAACTCGGGATCATCGGAACAGACATAGTGGGAAAATAGATTAAATAGATCTTCTTTATTCGTAGTTTTCACCTTGTAAAGCCAGGTCTTCGAGCCAGTCGCCACACAGAATGGGATGTTATGAGAATGCAGGTGCTTTACTAATCTTTCAGCACCTTAGGCAAGAGAGAGATATTTTTAATGATGCTCTATTATTAACCATGTATAAAAATAAGGAGACTAACGAAATGTTCTTAAAGGCCCAGCCCTACGTCATGGACTCTAGCAAACAGCAAAAACATCGAGCTATAGAGTCTACGACGTAGGCTACAGTGAGGGCTATCGCTACAATCAACACAGTAATAGTACAGGGCGAATCTGAAGTCCTGACGAAAACTTGCGCGGTGTTTGGCACATTCAATGACTGAGGCCAACTTATAACCAGAGAACTGCCTATTGCAGATATCGAAACTTGAAGGGCCCTGCAATCATAGTGAATAACCAATTACACGGTAAATTGAAAAATAAAAGTAAATTGCTGGCTATTTTTATCTGTCTGCAGTCTGCTTGTCAAGTTCCCTTTTATAAATACAGAGTAATATTGGCAAATTGCCTTTGTCCGGAAGCCTTCGTTCTCATGAATTGTGAGGCTGGATTCAATGAAAACGAGCTCCCAGCCCAAGGAAGTATTCATGTCATAATTACGAAATCAGGTGTATTACATATTGAATAAATTAAACCAAAATACGATGTTGATGGATTAGATGACCCAATGGTTAACTGCTGGCACTGCATGATCATACTGTGGAGTAGGCTAGTGTTAAGCCTGGTTTACACTATCAAAGTTTCTGTCATCACAGTAGGTATTTTGTATCAGAAATTCTACGTTTTGAAGGATTCGTAAGAAACGTTTGAGGGAGCTGACTCAGTGTTTAACATAACATTAAGTCAGTATGCTCAAACATTTCTTACGAATTCTCAACCTCGTTTGACAAATCCTTTAAAACTTAGAATTTACCTACGCAAAATTCCTACTGTGGTCACAGAAACTTAGATATTGTAAACCAGCCTTTGATCTTACAGTGTTAAAACTGATAGCACTGACCTGGCATTGGCTTGCAATGAGGAAAGCATTCGTTTTCTAGTGCCACAGCATTCTCTAAATATTCCTCTGCTGTTATTGGTAGATCCAGTAGTTTTACCGTCATGATTGCACCATCCTTAGGACTTCTTCCCATTACTTTGGATTTCATTTCCCAATCAAAAATTTTACCATATTTATCAGCGATTTTCTGTGTAATTTCTGTGTATATACTTTCAGTATCTAAGGGAATAATCAAGCGAATTGCGGATTATAATTGCGAGTACTAAAGAACTTCTCAAATTATAATCTAAGAAAAGAGAATAATTTTAACAAATAGATTTAAAAGTAGTTTTATACCACACAATCAAAATTTATATGTAAATTCTAAAGTTAGACGTAATTCAACCAGAAGGTTGAAATGTTTTAACTAATAAAACTATCTGTCTATCTAGCTTCACAAAATATATGATTGTGGAAAAACGAGCCAAGGCAGTATGATAGTCTGGAGTCAAGGTACAGACTATATGTCTATAGTCACTTATGGCGTCCAAATGGGGGTCAAGACCGGCGTGTTTAATCATGATTGACCACTCGTCGCATGCGTGAAAAGACTGGGACTGGCCCTCAAGTTTGGCTTCAAATTTCCGGTTGGAGGAAACATTCTAGTTATATTAATTTCAATGGTCGGAACACACCACGATCATACGTTAATTTAAACCAGACAACTTCGCTTTATTGGTACATTAAGAATTCGAAGCCATAGTCAATGCTGTTTTGTCATAATATTACTCAGTACAGTTCTCGATAAACTTAACTTAGCGAAAAGAATATGTTTCGCATTCAAGAGGCAATGCATTGCTTTCGCTTGCTGGTCTTCGCGTTTCCAGCCAACAGCTTTGCATTGGCTTCTCGCGACAATATCATTCTTCAAGGCAAATAGCGCGTTTCGAAACGATCGATTTTCCTTGACATGTGACATGTACAATTTCGAAATCTAAAATGAAAATGTTTTAAGTAGCCCATGAGGTTATAATTAGGGGCGGACCATTAGAAATCCCGGGAGGGGGGGTATAAAATGTTTGCGGCACGAATTTTTTTTTCAGTCTCATGTGTCTGCAGGATTTTTTTTTAATGCACTTAACCTCTGCACGAATTTTTCAAGACTACTTGTACTTTGCTCATGGCGACCTCCCCCCCCCCCGTCGCCAAAAAAAATTTCGGTCAGTGTACCATTTTAGGGGTCAAAAATTTTTTCCGGACATACCACATACCAAAAGTTACCACAAAATTGACAGAATTTGTCAATTTTTTTTTTTAATAAACTAAAATTGCCCGACTGTTCAGCGAATATTACCCGACTGCCAACTGCCCGGTACGCCCATGACTTTGCTGTTTGCTTGCACGAATTTTTTTTCTCTGACGTAATGGCCCGACTGTTCAGCGAATATTACCCGACTGCAAACTGCCCGGTACGCCCATGACTTTGCTGTTTCCTGCTTTCTTGCACGAATTTTTTTTCTCTGACGTAATGGCTGCACGAATTTTTTTCCCAGGCATTTTTCTTTGCACGAATTTTTTTGGGGGAATTTTCACCGGGGAATTTTCACCCCCCCTCCCGGGATTTCTAATGGTCCGCCCCTTAGCGTACCGACTGTATGAGACAGTTACTTTTGTGATAGTCCGTATAAGAAATTAAGAGGTTGAGCCATATTAAAGAGATATCAAACGCGCTTAGAGTGAGCGTGGTTGCTCGAAGCTAGATAAGCGACGCTCGAAACTGATTCACTCGAAGTAAAGCCCATTTTCCCCTAAGCGAGTTCGCGCGAACAGTAAAAAACTAGGAACTGATCCAACTTTTTCGCGGCGAATTTTTCGCTGACCAATCACATTGCCAAGATTTGTTTTTTCGCTTCGCGGGAAAAAATTCGCCTAGTGGAAAATTAATGGACTTAAGCGACCACGCGATCGGCGGTCTGGAAACCAGTCAGTAATTGTTTCCATCTACAAACTGACAGGACGTCATTTTCGGAAGATGGAAAAGGTGTTAAATGGCTATGTAACTAACCCAAATCCTACCACTACTCTAACCTCTAACCCTAAGTACAACCCTAACTCTAACCCTAACCCAATTAATAAAAAAAAATCCAAAGAGAATCAAATGACGCAACGTCAGTTTGGTAGATGGAAACAAGTGAAAACCCCAGAAACCTGAAGATGCGAGTTCGAATCCCGCTCGAGACAACGAATTTTTTCCTTGTAATTTGCAGTGTCGGAATATGAAAAATATTAGGCAGACATTTACTTTAGGTTTTTCTTTTCCGTTCGAACGTCAAGCGGCAAACCACAAGGAACCACATGATTGTATCTAGTGGTTGAACCACAGTTGAACTTGCCGAGTATTTTACACGCGTTTGACGGATGGAGCGATTTTTCCCGTATTGTGTTTCAGTCCTGCAAGCTTTTATTTCTTTGAGAGCGACTTAATTATCTCACGTTTTTATAGTTTAGTTTATATGATGTACCTTTAATCTTTAAATCTAAGTTTAAATATTTGATGATTATCAAGTGTTCCATACAGCTTTTATACGCCGAACTTCAAGTGCTACTTGTGCTTTGTGTAGTCAACATGGCTACATGTCATGCTATATTTTTACATTTTGTATTAATTGTGTTTGTGGGTAAACTTTATATGCGGTACCGCACATGGTATTTTAGCAGCTACAACCCTGGACAAAACATTTGCGACACTTCCAATTATTTGACAAAATTTTGTAATATTACCGCAAATTTAGAAAATCCTCCCCCCTATCCCCACCATTCAATGTTGATTGCATTCGCAGAACACGTTTAAAACATCCAACATTGTTTTGAGGGGCGGAGCAAACGAGTAAATTATTTCGGTCTAATAGTAAAAAAAGCCACCAAGAACTGTTTTAATATAGTGTCGCTGATGGTTTTGTCCAGGGTGGTAGATGTATCCGAATATCTTTGAAAGGTTCCGAATATCTTTGAGGTTCTGTATCTAGGATCTAGTCTCCTCCACTGTTTCTCTTGACAGCGAAATCAACGGTAAAGCCGCTACAACCTTCGGTTACCTCGCGGTGAAGACTAAAACCCGAATGTATAAAGCATGTGTACTCACCATACTTCCTATGCCGCCAGGGTTTTTCAACGTTCAAAGATCGGTTGTATAAAAAGGTAGTTAAAGTTAACCACAGTTAGTAGTTAGTGTCGCAAATTTTAGAGTTAACCACTATTTCATTTGAATAGTGATTAAAAAGTAGTTACCTTGTTGTTATCTTGAATTGTCTTTGCCAGTGTAGGTAGTGCCAATAAAATGAACAAGCTTTCGTTGGTAGGGATGCAACTTGCAATTATGTGAAAATATATAAGAATTTCGACGTTTCGAGCGAAGGCCCTTCGTAACTCCAGACGACGGGCCTTAGCTCGAAACGACTCGAAAAGAATTTCAGGTAGGTCATTATGTGAAAATATAAGAATTTCGACGTTTCGAGCGAAGGCCCTTCGTAACTCCAGACGAAGGGCCTTCGCTCGAAACGTCGAAATTCTCCTAATATTTTTCAGGTAGTTGCATCCCTACCAACGAAAGCTTATTATATTGTTTTTACCCCGCATATAAGCGCTTGCAGACACTGCAGATGAAGGCGACTGCGCTTATATCCGAATCAGGGCGTAGTAAAACACTACGTTGTCGCCCTGATCCGAATATAAGCAAATGCACCTTTAAACCGTCAAATTTGCGAGTTAGACAGACATGAATAGAATACCTTTTTTGATGATACAAATACTTTTATGTTTTAAATTATCAACATTGTCTATAAGTTATAAATTGTAGTTTTGTGGTTAATGATAATTGTTATTATTATATACACAAGGTCTGGATATGAGGTATTCTGCAATCTGATTGGTTCTCTACTAGCAGGATATTAGCTCATATCCTGCTAGTAGCAAAAAACAAAATGGCGGCTGAAACCGGCAGGTACAAAACGCAGGTTGCAGGTTGCAGGTTGGAATAGCAGGATATTAGCTCATATCCTGCTAGTAGCAAAAAACAAAATGGCGGCTGAAACCGGCAGGTACAAAACGCAGGTTGCAGGGTTGCAGGTTGGAATTTTGCAGGTTGGAATTTTGCAGGTTGGGAATTTTGCAGGTTGGGAATTTTGCAGGTTGGAATTTTGCAGGTTGGAATTTTGCAGGTTGGGAATTTTGCAGGTTGGGAATTTTGCAGGTTGGAATTTTGCAGGTTGGGGATTTTGCAGGTTGGAATTTTGCAGGTTGGGGATTTTGCAGGTTGGAATTTTGCAGGTTGGGGATTTTACAGGTTGGAATTTTGCAGGTTGACAGGAATTTTGCAGGTTGATGATGCAAACTGAAAATTACACTACTATAAAGTATTCTAGTACAATTTTATTTTGTACTTATTGCAGTCTGACTCCTTGTCGCCGCTTTTGATATCAGAATTTTGCAGGTTGGGGATTTTGCAGGTTGGAATTTTGCAGGTTGGGGATTTTACAGGTTGGAATTTTGCAGGTTGACAGGAATTTTGCAGGTTGATGATGCAAACTGAAAATTGATGCAAACTGAAAATTACACTACTATAAAGTATTCTAGTACAATTTTATTTTGTACTTATTGCAGTCTGACTCCTTGTCGCCGCTTTTGATATCAGCCTATCCTGCTACCATGTTTCTAGCCTCTGCTCATCACCCTTGTGAAAACATTCAAAATGACCAGATTGGCTTGGATCTTCAGGGGGACGAATGTTTCGATTGTTGCGAGGAGCCTACATGACGTGGTGGCAGTTCAGAAAATGCCTGAATGAGGTGTCTCTCCTCTGCACCCACTTATGAGACCACTCAAGCCCCCAATTACCGTATCATTACTCGAGAGTTAGTTAACTTTTAACAACATTCTAGTATAAACGCCGCCACATCATGTAGGCACCTCGCAACAATCAAAACATTTGTCCAGGGGCGTAGGAAGCTTCTAAAAGTTGGGGGGGGGGGTGCAGGCTTTGAGGGGCACTTTCCGAATAAAAAAGGGCATCTAAAAATTTTTTCCCGGAAATGTTGGCGACGGGGGTGGGAAGGGGGGAGGTCTCAAAATTTTTTTCCGGACATACCAAAAAAATATTTCCAGATATATCCAATTTTCCTAAATATGAAAAAAATTTTCCGGAAACACAAAAAAATTTTTCGGACATCATATTTTTTCCCAAAATGAAAAAAATATTCCGGAAAATAACATAAATTCAAGTTTCGAAAAGTGCGCTTTGGGCAAAAATAGGCAATCCTTAAAACATTTTTAACACAAAAAAGGGCACTTTGCTCCCGGAAAAAGGGCACTTGGCAAAACTTGGGGGGCCTGCCCCCCCGGTTCCTACACCCCTGCATTCGTCTCCCTGTAGGTCCAAGCCAATCTGGTCATTTTGAATGTTTTCACGGGGGTGATGGCCACTAGCCTTAGAGCAGAGGCGCCGACAAGGAGTCAGACTGCAATAAATGCACAACTAAATTATACTAGAATACTAAAAAAGTACGTGGTGTAATTTTAAGCTCGCATTATTAACCTGCAAAGTTCCTGGCAACCTGCAAAATTCCAACCTGCAAAATCCCCAACCTGCAAAATTCCAACCTGCAAAATTCGCAACCTGCAAAATTCCAACCTGCAACCTGCAACCTGCGTTTTGTACCTGCCGTTTCTACTTGCATAATTTCATTTAATGTTTTAAGACATTTGTTACTATGAGATATCGTTGTGTCATCCGCAAATAATATAAATGAAACTATTTTACTGCAATGCTGTATATCGTTTATATACAAAAGGAACAACAGTGGTCCCAGAATGGAACCCTGGGGGACTCCACTTGTGATTGTCATTTCTTTTGATCTCGCCTGATTGTATTTTACAATTTGTTTTCTATTTTTAAATAATCTTGAAACCATTGTTGAGATATTCCTCTCATGCCATAATATTCTAATTTTTTAATCAGAATCCTGTGATTAATTGTGTCAAAAGCCTTGGACAAATCTAAAAATATACCAATAGTGTATTCTCCTTTATCTATTGCTCTAGTAATTTTATCTAAAAGTTCAATAATTGCAAAATCTGTTGATCTGTTTTGTCTAAACCCATATTGATGTTTTGATAATATCTTGTTTTTTTTCTATGAAGTTGATTAATCTTCTGTACATGAGTTTTTCTAATAATTTTGAAAAACATGAAAGAACAGATATAGGTCTGTAATTGTTAAATTTATTTTTTTCATTAGCTTTAAAAATAGGTGTAACTAATGCTATCTTTAGCTTATCAGGGATAATACCACTTAGGAAAGTCAAATTAAATATATGAGCAAGAGGCTCAGAAATATTGCTGGCAGTTAATTTTAAAAATTTCGAACTAATATTATCATATCCAGGACTTTTATTTTGATTCATATTAGATATTTCTAATTCTATTTCATTTTTGGTAATTGTTTCAAGAAACATGCTATCTTTGTACAAATTACTAGTGAGATAGTGCTCAAATGTTTTTTGACCATCATTTTCGGTAATCTTTTTGGCCAGTTCTGGTCCAACATTCACAAAATATTCATTGAATTTGTTGGCTATATTAAGAGGATCTTTAATTAACTCAGAGGGGTTATTCCCAACAAATTCTTCTGGTAGTTCTTTTTTTACTTTATTTCTATTCATGATTTCATTTAATGTTTTCCATGTCATTCGAGCATCATATTTATATTTTACTAGCTGTTCTTCATAATATATTTTTTTGGCCATTTTTATTATATGATTTAGTTTATTTTTATACTTTTTATATTTAGTTTTGTTTTTTTCACTTGGGTTTTGTAAGAAAGTTTTATACAGCTTATTTTTCCTCATCACTGATTTTATAATGCATCTGGTCATCCATGGACTTTTGCCTTGATCAATATTATTTTTAAGATGTTTTGGTCTTAATGGGAAGTTAGTTTCATAGGTTGTTGTGAATATTTTAGAAAATTCATTAAAAGATTTTGTCGGATTTTCTTGAATAAATACATTATCCCATGATGCGTTTTTAATTGAGTTTATAAATGATGTTATGTTAGAGTTGTTAATTTCCCTTTTATAGATTACGTTAGTTTGTTTGGTACTTTTTTCTTCGGGATTTTTTTAATCAAACATGTGTAATATTGGTAAATGATCGGAGATATCAGTGAATATAATTCCATTAATACTGTTCTCAACTTTTTCTATATTATTTGTAAAAATATTATCGATTATTGTAGCAGTATGTTCAGTAATTCTAGTTGGTTTTGTTATAAGCGGAACAAAAGATGATGTAAAAAGTTGTTCAATAAATCTATTGGCATAATCACAGGACTCTGATTTGAGTAAATCAATATTAAAATCTCCCATAATATAACATATTTTGTTTTCTTTATCAATTTTATGTAGTAATACATTCATTGCATTTTCAAATACTTCAACTTTTTTGTTTGGAGGTCTATATATTGTTCCTACGATTATGTTTTTACTGAATGGCGCATAACTATTTCGATAAAAACTGATTCAATTCCATCTTCGTTAACGGAATTCAAATCCTTGCGAATCTTATATTCTGTTTTAAGTTCTTTGTATGTTTGCATGGTGATAAAATATAATAGGTTTTGTTTGTGGAAACACCACGTAAATTTATTACTGCAAAGCTTTCGATCCGTAAGCCCGGATCTTCATCAGTGCTAATAATATGAGCCAACAGATCATGACACTTTTGAAAATAAAAAGAGCGTGTGAATTAAACAAGTCACATATTATTAGCACTGATGAAGATCCGGGCTTACGGATCGAAAGCTTTGCAGTAATAAATTTAAGTGGTGTTTCCACAAACAAAACCTATTATATTTTATCACCATGCAAACATACAAAGAACTTACCTACTCCTCCGCTTTTTTTATTGCTTCTGTTTGAGCTTATGAAATCATATTTTTCTATATTAAAGATATCGTTATTGGTATCATTGAGCCATGTTTCTGTTAAGCCTATTACTTTAATAGGTTTTCCTAGTGAATTCAGAAGGTGTTTAAATGAGTCAAAGTTTTTAGATATACTTCTTATATTTAAGTGTAACAAGGAAAAGTAATTTTTTTGTTTGTCTTTTGTGATGACATGCATCTTTAAGTTCGTTTGTAAGGTAATAGTCACACTTTATTTTGTCAATGTCAAAAGACGAATCCGGATGCGCGCTGATTCCGCATAATTCTAAATCATTACTCAGTTGAAATGGGTTAAAACTTAATTGCGTTATTCTATCCATATCATCTTGGCTAAAGGTTCTACCTCTTGTAATGTTTAAGTCGTATTCTAAATCATCAAGCGATTGAAACGGCAAGGCATTGTCAAGGCAAAATTTGCATATATCAATTTCCGCATTAGTCACATTAGTGTCAAATGATTTCAGGCATGCAGACTTGGCGTGATACCATCTGTGACATGAGTTACATTCAATCCATTTTTAGTATTTCCCAATAGTTTTATGGCAAGAAGAACATGTCTTCTTGTTAGTAATATTTGATTTAGGAATTAGATTGGTTTCTTATTTGAAAATAAATGTTAAAAATTATGATTATAAAGAATAGTAGAGTATATGTATTGATATGTAAAGATATGTAATTTGAAACGAGATTATGTCAAATTAAAAACAACACCTTCAATAATAAGTTTGTCCCTGACCATCCTAGCCCTTTCCTTTTCTGTTTTTGCCTTCTTATATTCTGGATAGAGTGCTTTTCTAACTCTTTCAATTTCTTCTGGGAATTGTTGGGAAACGCCAATTCTCGTTCCTTTCAGCTTTCTCGCATTCTTTCGTATGTATTCCCTGTCCTGGAAGTAATTGAATTTCACCACTATTGGCCTAGGTTTCGCATTGGTCTGAACTTTCCTTCCAATACGGTGGGATCGGTCAATCTTTATCATATTTGCCGCATCACGTACTTCAAATTTCTCTTCGAGTAGGCTATGAATAATCGCAGTTGTATCTTCCCTCTCCTGTTCGCTAATATTATAAAAGACTAAATTGTCTCTCATTGAACTTGCTTTAAGGACAGCAATGCTATCATGTAGTGCGGTATTTTCATTTTCCAGATTCTTAATTCGTTTCTTTGTTTCTTCATCGCATATTTTTGATAATTCTTGCTGATGCTTCAAATCATCAATTTCTGCATATGCGTACTCCAAAGATTGCTTTAATCCTTTCATCTCTTCTTCGGCAGACTTGACTTTCTCTTCGATAATGTCAAGCTTGTCTAACTTCCTGGCCATCACTTTTAGCAATTCGTGTATTTCATCTAATTGCGTATTATTTTCCCTCTCTTGTGTCTCTTGTTGAACAAACATATTAGGTGTATCATTCTGTTTCATCGATTTAGATTTGGCTGACTTTATGGGCGTATTATTGCTAGAAATAGTTAAACTTTGCGCATTGCGCTTGGAGGCATGTTTATATGACGCCATGATATATGATTATTGAATATATAAATAAATATATTATTAAATATATTATAAATATATAATTATTAAATATATACTAAATAAATATATTATTTAGTAACATGACCAGCAATTTTTCTTTCAAATAGGGACTGGGACCTAATCCCTCAATTTCTTTAGGCACTGAGTTCCACATTTTTGCCCCATTAAACGTAAAACTCTATTTCATACTATTTGTGCGGGGCTGTGGCAAAACGAGTGTTGTTTCATTGTCACAGAGACAGTAATATGTGTTCTCATTCTTGTAGGTAAAAAGGTCTTTTAGGCCCAGACATATTCAAAATTTTGAACATTAATTTTGCCTTAGCTTTAGTTTTTTCTACTTTTAGTGTCTTGAAGTGTCTTCCATCCTAACAAATTTAATGCCATTTGAGTATTAACTTCATTACCCATGTCCATAATAATTCGAGTGCATCTATTTTGAAGCTTTTGCATGCAATCGTTGTGATTGAGTTTCACCAAAAATGTCCCACACTTCACAACAATAAGTAAAGTATCATTGTACAATTGCATTAAATATAGAAACAAGTCTATCACAGTAAACAAATTCTTTGATTGATAGTAACCTCTCATGGAGATTTCACATTCATCATATAACACTTAAAATAAGTAAAACTATTGGTATCATATTGCGATTGAGACATTTTGTTCCTTTTCCAACACTTTTAAATATTTATCGTTCACTAATTCATCCATATATTTCATATGGTTTATCTGTATGGGGGCAGACAGCAAAGACGAATTTGGATAAAATACTGATTCTTCAAAAACGTGCTTTACTACTGATGTTCTTGGCAACAGAGAACATGCCATACCACTATTTGTAAATGCAAATGTGCTACTGATAAGAATGCTCTGTTAGGGAGCAGTCATTATTAATTAATGCTGGGGCTGGATGATATTTGGGGGGCCACCAAAAATTTATTAACCAGTTGGGGGGGGGGGCTACCTAAAATATCAAAGAAAGGTAGGGGGCACCGAAAATAATGTACAATAATCGTAAAACATCGGCAATTATAGTTCACTGTAATAAAAATGTGAATGCTATATAAGTATAGGTAATCACACAGGAAGGAGTTAAATTAATTATAGTATCACTATGACTAATATTTGAAAAAAGTGCCAAAATTGCACAAGCTGTTAATTAATTGCACGACTTGCCCATGTGATTATTTATTTATTTTATGCATAGCATGAAATTCAATAAAATTTTAACTTCATTTTGTCAAGAGTTTTTAATTCTTTTGTAAGCAATTTGGCATAAACAAACTTGGGAAATGATCATAAATTTATAATATTTAATAGTTAATTTGAATATTTAATAGAGTTTAAAAATATCTTCTGGCCCCATCCCCGGCATTATTAAATAATGACTGCTCCCTTATAAAACTGTGAGTATTTTGATGCATGACATAGCCAATACTCTAGCACCACAAAAGCTATTAAAAATGTTTACAAATGTAAACCAGATACATAGTCACAACACAAGGTCTGCAATTGGTGGAAGCTATTTTATTCAGCAGTCGAATCAGAATCAAAAAAAGAATTCATTCTCTCAACTCGGAACTAAAATTTGGAATGGTATCCCTAATGAATTACGGAACCGACGTAAACATATGTTTAAAACAAAAATAAATTCAATACTTCTCCTGGTCTTGGAAAGCGAGGATGTTTATGTTGATGTCACCACAATAATAACGATAAAACATATAAATTAATAAAAATATTTTTCTTGTTAGGCCCTTAATTGTTGTTTATTTTCTTTTCTTTCTATTTTGTATAATAATCAAACAATTAAGCCCGGCGCACACTAGTGCAAGTTGCATGCACAAATGTCATTCGTGACCAATTGCGTGTGACGAAAATCCTAGTGTGCGGGGAAAATATACAGGATTTTTGTCACTTGTGTCATGAACAAGCAATATCAAACATGTTTGATATTTCCTGTCATTCGTGACAAAAACTCCCAGTGTGCGGCAAACAGGTCTTCGCAACTCTTCGTAGCAAAGGAAGTGCGCATGCGTGTCGTGTTATCCAAAAACAACATGGCGGACAGTGAATGTAGTGAACCTCATAGTGAACTGGTCAACGAAGCAATTTTAGAGGATAAATTGGTAGAAATCTGGCCAGAATATCCCTGCTTGTATGATGTTCGGTCATCTGACTTTAAAAACAGAGATTTAAGAGATAAAGCACATCAGGAAATGGCAGAAAAGTTGGGGCAAACAAGTCAGTATTTAATAATATTTTATACATTTGCCTGAATGTTCTATATTTATAGTTTTTCAATGCATATTTTGCCAAAATTCCCATGCAAGCACATTCCAAAATGTTTTAGAAGGATGTAAAATGTTTTGGGGGCAACTTTTACATTCAAAAATAACGCTTAAATCTAGGGGAGTTGAACTGTTGAAGGAATTAGTTTTGAACTTTTACTTTGAGTCTCTTAAACGGCATTTCTTGCACTCTGTTGCACCATGTGCCATAAATATTTATATCTGTGATATGAACTTTTACTTTGAGTCTCTTAAACGGCATTTCTTGCACTCTGTTGCACCATGTGCCATAAATATTTATATCTGTGATATATTTCAGGGGCATCATCCGCTTGTTTATATAACCGTATAGGTAGAGAAACTAAATTCGCAAGATGCTCCATGACTGGGGTGAGGGAAAAAATTTGAAATCTCTAGTTTGTCAGAATCAGCATTTTCAAAGTCTCATAATTCTACATCTTTTGTTAGTCCCTTATCAAATTAGGTTGGTATATCAGCTGGTCATAGAACACAGAAAGGAAACTGATTTGGTTGTGTGAAGGGAATATGGCAATCAGTAATTATTTTACCATTTTTAGTTTTTGCACCCAAAAATCTTCACTTTACATAATATTTATACCAACAGTTCGGGGCAGCACAATTGCCCCCCGCCTTGTATGCTTATGTTAGCGTAAACAACACTGAGTGACAGGTGTGAACAGACATTGTATTTGGAGCAACTGATGTAATTCATTTAATTTTCTTAAAATTATAGTTGTCTGGGTTAAAGCAAAACTTAAATCTCTTAGAACTAGCTATACAAGAGTTAAAAAGCCTGCCTCAAGTGGAAGTGCACGAAGAAATCCGACAAAGCGATCAAGCTGGCTATTAGATAAGTTGCAATTCATGGCTCCTTTTGTAGCAACTCGAGCTCCAATTTCCAACATAGATTCTGTAAGCGACAGGTACAAAACGCAGGTTGCAGGTTGGAATATGGCTCCTTTTGTAGCAACTCGAGCTCCAATTTCCAACATAGATTCTGTAAGCGACAGGTACAAAACGCAGCCTTGCAGGTTGGAATTTTGCAGGTTGTGAATTTTGCAGGTTGGAATTTTGCAGGTTGGAATTTTGCAGGTTGGAGGATTTTGCAGGTTGGAATTTTGCAGGTTGGCAGGAACTTTGCAGGTTAATGCAAATTTAAAATTACACCACTTTTTTAGTATTCCAGTATAATTTAGTTGTGCATTTATTGCAGTCTGACTCCTTGTCGGCGCCTCTGCTCTAAGGCTAGTGGCCATCACCCCCATGAAAATATTCAAAATAACCAGATTGGCTTGGACCTACAGGGAGACGAATGTAAGGGCGTAGGAACCGGGGGCGGCAGGGCGGCCAGGCCCCCAAGTTTTGCCAAGTGCCCTTTTTCCAGGAGCAAAGTGCCCTTTTTTTGCGTTAAAAATGTTTCAAGGATTGCCTTTTCTTGCCCAAAGTGCACTTTTTGAAACTTGAATTTATGTTATTTTCTGGAATATTTTTTCATTTCCTGAAAAAATCTGATGTCCGAAAAAAATTTTTTGTATTTCCGCACTTTTTGAAACTTGAATTTATGTTATTTTCTGGAATATTTTTTCATTTCCTGAAAAAATCTGATGTCCGAAATTTTGAAACTTGAATTTATGTTATTTTCTGGAATATTTTTTCATTTCCTGAAAAAATCTGATGTCCGAAAAAAATTTTTTGTATTTCCGGAAAATTGGATATATCTGAAAAATTTTTTTTTGGTATGTCCGGAAAAAATTTTTGAGACCCCCCTGTCGCCAACATTTCCGGGAAAAATTTTTTAGATGCCCTTTTTTATTCGGAAAGTGCCCCTCAAAGCCTGCCCCCCAACTTTTAGAAGCTTCCTACGCCCCTGGACAAATGTTTTGATTGTTGCGAGGTGCCTACATGATGTGGCGGCGTTTATACTAGAATATTGTTAAAAGTTAACTAACTCTTGAGTAAAGATACGGTAATTGGGGGGCTTGAGTGGTCTCATAAGTGGGTGCAGAGGAGAGACACCTCATTCAGGCATTTTCTGAACTGCCACCACGTCATGTAGGCTCCTCGCAACAATCGAAACATTTGTCCCCCTGAAGATCCAAGCCAATCTGGTCATTTTGAATGTTTTCACAAGGGTGATGAGCAGAGGCTAGAAACATGGCCGGCAGGATAGGCTGATATCAAAAGCGGCGACAAGGAGTCAGACTGCAATAAGTACACAATAAAATTATACTAGAATACTTTATAGTAGTGTAATTTTCAGTTTGCATCATCAACCTGCAAAATTCCTGTCAACCTGCAAAATCCAACCTATAAAATCCCCAACCTGCAAAATTCCAACCTGCAAAATTCCCAACCTAATATTCCAACCTGCAACCTGCAACCTGCGTTTTGTACCTGCCGATTCTGTAAGTTCTGCTTTAAATAGTATTATATTTGATTTTACTAGCGTTGAACCGATATGACAATTTACCCATATTCTGATAACCAATATTTTAGTGCCGATACCGATAACTGAACTGATATTTTGTTGAAAAAGGAAAACATTTCGACAAACACGGAAATCTTGTCTCATTACTAATTTAATTATGAATTTACCTCTGTCATCATGTATGTAACTTTCACAATGAAAGTATGCTGTCAGATTTTTTTGCTTGTTAAAAATCTGCTTTTTTCATTACCAAGTTCTGTTTTGCATGGACAAAAGGAGCTAAACATATATCAGTATACTGGTTACAAAAATATTGATATTCTTATTTTAGCGCTGATATACCGATACCAATATCGGTGCATCACCAATTAAAGTGCACGACTCTTCCCTTGACATGTAAAATGCTCTGGTGTTAAATAGAGTAAAATAAAAAAGTAGGGTGCACTAGTGTGCATTGCATGTTAAAGGATTAAGTGCCATATTGTCTGCTGATAGTTTTATATTCGTAAGCAAACTTTAAACATATTTCTGTGTTGAGAGTATATAAACACTTGTGAAAGTTGGAAAAGCTTAAAATTGTGTGGAAACACTAGCCCTTTTGGCACAGTGTTTCCAACTTTCAACTGGTATGTATCCCCTGTGGTATCCCGGAGAAATGATGGGGCAAGGCTTGGTTGATGCATGCAGTTCATCTACATTAAAAAACAATAATAGACCACTTCCACAAGGCCCATCGACAGGGTATAATGTTGCATCATCTTTCTCGGCATGCTAATAGCCAACACAATTTTGGACCTATACTGACCTGACATAGGTGTTTGCCACCAAAATTCTTGTTCTTTACACCCAAGCTCTAATTAAAAACTGCATGATATTATTCATCAAATTGTTGACTCTATTAAAAGGTTATTATTTTTCACATCAAAGGTTCTACATGACAAGTCAATTTTTAAAAACAGTTCTTATTTAATCATAAAGTCCTGCCATGGAACCGAGCCATGATTGTTGAAATATGCGGTCAGCAATTCGCGTTGATTTTTAGCATTTCTTGGTGGGTTACGGTCAGTGCTAAATTGATTCAATCTGGTCAAGCATGTGTTACTTCTCCATGTTCCAGCTGTTATTGTATGGTCACTATTTTCAACATCTGCAGCTGATGTATAGGTCGTATAGGAAAGTTTGTTATGTTCCACCAAGTAATTATGCAAACAGCAAGCTGCTAGAATTACATCTGTCACCCTGTCTGGATCTAATTTTATTGTTGTCAAGAACACTCGCCATCTATTAGCCAAAATGCCAAAATCATTTTCTACAGCACGCCTTGCACGCGATAATCGATAGTTAAAAATTCGTTTTTCCTTTTCTAAATTTCTATGAGGATATGGCTTCATCATAGTTAAGCTCAATGGAAAAGCATCGTCCCCAATGATATGGTAATTTATTCTTGATGATGAAATTCCTTGAATACATGCAGGTGGTGGCAAATTAAGTGTGTTTTCGATCACTGCTTTCTTTAAGGTTGATTCATTATACACACCAGCATCTCCTGCACGTCCTGAGGCACCAACATTGACATAAATAAACTTGTAATTGGCATTAACTAGAGCAAATAGCAACACACTGAAAAAGTGTTTGTAGTTGAAAAATTCTGAACCACTACCGCTAGGCTGCTGTATGGCAACGTGCTTGCCATCTATTGCCCCTATGCAGCAAGGATAGTTCCACTTTTTCTCAAATTCTTCTCCTACATCTAACCATTCCTTTGCAGAAGTTGGGGTCTACAAATGAGATGTTTCAAAATATTAGTTTAATTTTCATTTAATATTTTAGGTGACTTGTGACTCACCATCAGACACTAGTGTGGTGGATCAAATAGATGAAGAAGCCTTTGATGAAGATGAAAGTGGTGATCAAACTAATCCAGACACACCAAGCCCATCTTTTGAGTCTGAGCTAGATTTTCCTGTGCCCAAATCGACAAAAGAACCATTAAAAATTAAACCCAACAGAAAAAAGCAAGCAGAAGAAGAATTAAAGGTTTGGCAGAGTCAATTGGAGAAAGAAGAAATAAGAAGCAAAAGTTGGAAACTCAGTCTACCAAACCATCTGATGCCTTTGGTCTTTATGTTACACAAACTTTATCAGAACTTGACCCAAAGGTTCGGCATGTGGCTCAACATCATATCAACACCACATTGTTCCAGGCACAAACTGGAGATCTTGTTCAGAATCACAACTTTCGTATGGCTGCACCCGTATCCGTACATCCACCGCCTTTTCAGCCATTGCACCCACATTATGATGTGCAACCAGTTACGAATCAAGCAACAAGCTTTTATTCTCCATTGAATAACCAATTCAATTTGTCATCCCAAAGAGATAATACTGGGGTACTTTCTGACCCTGGACACTCTACAAGCTTTTGGTCACCACAGAATCAATTAGACAGCTAAACTATACATGCATTGTCATGGTCAGGTTCAAACCAACTCATCTGATTTAAATAAAGTAGTGCCTGGTTTTATTCCTTGTAGACAGCAACAAACAAATGTGCAAGACTGATCACAATTTGTAATTTTTAATAACGGTCAAGAATAACCTCCTTCAACACACAGTCAAAGTTTATGATATTTAATAGTTTTAGTTTTACGAAAAGACATTTGCAAATATATTTGTATTTATTAGTTGACATATTAAAACATGTTACTTGCCTTCAAATATTGTTCTTTCATTGTGATGTACAGTGCCTGACATGTTTGTTCCACAATTTCAGAAATAGTTCTCTCACCCATTCTAAACTGGAATGATAGACTCTTGAATGTTTCTCCTATGTTGAAAAATGTACTATATAAGCAATTGAGAATATTGCGTCAAGAAGTAAAGCAAGACAAACTTCTATTTTTTTTTAGTATATAAATATATAATGTACTACTTAAGAATTATAAAACATTTTCCATGATGATATACAGTTATATAAACATGAGTGGCAGTTGGGAAAGAGAAACTGTGTGTTTGTATGTGTTTGTTTGATTCAATCTAATGATAAGGTGTGAAGTGATTAATAAGCCTGAAATTCTTCAGGGTTTACTAATATAGTGAAATTCGTCTTACCTGTTTTTTTATGGAATTCTTCAGGGGTCTAAATTTCTCTAAAATTTCTGGAATTCTTAAAGGGAAACTACTCAAAAATATGTATCCCTGCCAGTGGGATTTCGGTTTTTAAATGGAATAGTCTATATACATAGTGGGAATTAATAAATATTTCACAAACCTGTAGCAAGAAAACGTAGGGTAACAGAGAGACGTTCGCAGGGTTTTATTGCAGATCGCATTCGAGTGACCTGTTTAGAAATATACAGCGAGACCATACGTAAGATATTCTCAAAGGATTGCCTATCAAGTCGGTGATATTGACGGAATTTTTCCGGATCCTCTGCGTCAAGTTGCTGCCTTTGACTCCTTGCCTTTGTCTTCTCAAAATCCATCGTTTGGTCCAGAACTTGCGATTAGCCGCCCTCAGACGTCTTCGTATCAGCAAAAGAAATAGCAAGATATCTTCGTCTTCTGACAAATAATCTTGTTCACTGTCCGCCATGTTGTTTTTGGATAACACGACACGCATGCGCACTTCCTTTGCTACGAAGAGTTGCGAAGAGCTGTTTGCCCGCACACTGGGAATTTTTGTCACGAATGACAGGAAATATCAAACATGTTTGATATAGGCCGTATTCTGTGACCCCAAAAGTCGCTTAGAAAACAAGTTTCGTTGCCCCCATTCGGGGAATACTTTTAGTTTACATGTCGCTTAGAAAACAAATTTCGTTGCCCCCATTCGGGACCTACTTTTAGCTTACAGGAATCTATAGTTTTTGATACGCTGAGCACGAATTCACTTGTTGTCACTCGCACAGACCCGCAGTTTTTTTGTATTTTACGATCAAACATCAACATTTTTTATTAAAATTTCCGCCATTTTGTTCAGGAAACTTCATGTTATATACAGTTATTGTACTAGTCCAAGTCTCTTAGCAGGGGGGTTGCACGCGGTATTACGCAGTTTGTTATCATTCTTCTGAGAAAAATATACAGAAATGAAATAAAAATATAGATATTTTTTCACAATATAAATGCAAAAGGTACTGGTACATGTTTGTAAATAATTAGGAATTAATCTATTATTCTTTATTGCATCAACTTTTGTTTTTTTTGGCTCATCATGATGTGAAATTGCAAAGACTGTCACTATATCCATAAAGACTCTCACTTTTCATTGGTAAAGTTGTTTATTTTATTTATTACTGAAATTATGTACATAATTTTGGCCTTACAATTTGAAAAGGCAATTTTCCTGAATACTGTCTACCTGAAATTTTTGTCAACAATAAAGTTTTGAAGGTTTTATCCCTCAGAAGAGATTTCAAAATAAATTTTAACTTTGAAATCTTCTAATGGGGTGTTTATATGGAGGTGAGCCAGCCCATGCACCCGAGCTAGCTCTCTTTGCTGAGCTGATTTTATCCCATGTTTACATTAGACCCTTGAGGTGGGCTGTCTTGCCAAAACAAATCACTGGTCTTACCGCTATAAATAGTATAATATAAGTAAATATATTTTTATTTTCCAAGATCTCACCTAGGCAGGCCAGCTCGGTTCCCATTTAAACACAAGATAAATGTTAGTATAAATTACATAGCAATGTTAGATCTCGGCAAAGCAAGCTACAATCCTGGCAAAAATTATTGTGGACAGCATGTGCGTCAAACAAAAATAGATATATTTCTACATAATTAATCCGCCAGAAAATTTCTCCCCCTCCTACCCCCAATTCAATTATGTTGGTAAATGAAACTTTTAAAATTTGAATGCAAGAAACAACATTGAATAGGGGGCAGGGGGCGACAAATTTCATGAAAGAACGTCTCAATGTTAATATTGGCGTTAGAAAAATTAGGTGTCCACATAATTTTTGCCACGATTGTCTGAAAATGACCTAAAAAATATCGATAATTTTCACCCAAAACTAGGCCTTTTACTATAAATTTTTGACGCTGCTGTTGCTTTAGGATAACAAACAGATTGTTTAAACTGGTTTAATTGTTTTTTAAAGCATATTTATAATTTTGTGGGTGAGCGGCTTTTGGGCATGATATACGTTTTGCTGAACTAATTATGCAGACGCAGTAAGACGAGTTTTCAACAAAAGTACTTTAAGTGCGGAACCAAATTCTCACTAAATATAACAGACTATAGAGTTATTTTTGTGAAAGAAAATTATTAGAGCCTCTGGCATAATATAAAAAATGCGTCATTTCGTAAATAGAAATGGAATTAAGCTGATATACTATGCGTTGGTCTATCCATACCTTATTTATGGAAATTTAATTTGGGGTAACACCTACAAAACTCGGATTAAAAAAATAATGAATATTCAAAAAAAAATTGTACGGTTGATGACGTTTAAGTCGTATATGGAACACACTGAGCCGATTTTTAAAGAATTAAACATCTTAGGTATCTTTAAAATTAATGACTATTTAACTGCCATGTTCATGTTTCGATATCACCATCTTAAAAATCTACCTGAAGAATTTGATAATTTTTTTGTGAGTAATAATCAAATTCATCAGCATAACATGAGAAACGCATCCAAACTTTACAAGCAATATAAAAGAACAAACTATGCAAAGCATACTCTTTCTAATAAAGGTGCTGATGTATGGAACTTACTAGAATCGAATATCAAAGATATAAACTCTTGCACTGCTTTCAAAAAACAAGTTAAACAACATTATTTATTGAATTAGAAATAGGATTCAAATTCAAAATAATTCAAAATTATGCATTCTACTTACATATTATATAGTGATAAAGACTAGTGTCAATATGCCTTTATATATGACTTATATTTGTACTGTAATTATTTTGCTTTATAGTTCTTTCCTTCCTTTTGTAAATAATACACTCTAAGATAATTGTTTTTCTGATTTTACTGTAAATATATTAATTAATAGATAACAATGAACTATAACTAGGGGCCTAAATTAAAAAGCCTGTTAAGGTTTCTAGTAGGTCCCTAGCCCAATATTATTAGAAAATATTTGTAAATATTAACTAAGCTGTACATAGGGGAAAAAATAAAAAAAACAAAAAAAAGACAGGCTCGTCATTCAATGGCTTTTTAGCATGCTTATAGATTGCTGCCTTGGAATACTGTGGAAACATTTGCAACAGCCTCTTACCTCTAACGTTTGAAATTGGTGTGCGACTCTGATTTGCGCAGAATGCTCATGGGAAATTTTTTTCATCATCTTGAAAAAGGATTAAAAATATTTTCGAAGAAGGCATTGTGACAATTATGCATGAGTCAATTCCAACTGCGATCATCCCCCCCCGGGCGAACCCCCGGGACTTGACCAGAGGTTAATCCTGCATAGGCGGGAATTTGACGCGAAAACATTCCCGCACTGTCGGGCATTTGACCCCTTTTATTTGACTGATCACTGGCGCAAAATTGGCCAGCGGTCGCGCTAGCTAAGTACTTGGTGTAGATGAACCTTGACAAACGTGATTTGCTTTCACGTGTATAAAAAACACACTACACGGGATAAATAGTTTTAAAGTTTTATGTATAAAAATGCCGCTGTATAAAGTTTGGAGCTCCACCAGGGAAGTTAAAAAGGCTGTAATTGCTTGTTCTTTTACAGAATTTGTTTTAAAAGGTATGTGTCTTTATGATATTTTATAGATAAAAAGTAGTTGAACTTGCAATAGCGAGCATTTAAAAAAGAAACGGCATTGCTGTTTTGAGGGGATATCTGCGCACTTCCGTTTCTGTAATTATTTTATACCCTGCGAATATATTTACTAATACAAATTTATTATTTATGTTTTTACGTGAGCTATGCTTGATATTTTTATTGTAGTTCTGTATCTGCTACAGAAATTTTGAAACCTTTTCTGAAATAGCCAACCAATCAAACGATAATACTGGAATACACAAGCAATTTCAAGAACGGAAGTGTGATGGTATTTCCGTTTTGAGTATTTTGACTGTAAAAATAAAATGAAATGAACATTTAATTAAAACTCTAGCTGGTTCTCTTCACGTAAAATTATATGGGAAACGTACAAGGCAGATATGGGCATTTGACTAGTATGCTTTTGCCCGCACCGTTGGGAATTTGACAATGGGTTTTGCCCGCACCGTCGGAAATTTGACCGTATTTTTTTTGAAAAGTCAAATTCCCGGGGGTTCGCCCGGGGGGGGGGATGATCGCAGTTGGAATTGACTCATGCATTATTAACAAAGCTTCATATTCGTCAAAGAAAATAGAAGCAAATGTTATGACACTACAGAGCAAGACATCAGCAATCACCAACTGACATGCTTTATACCATCATCTGATTTCTCGTACTACATGGATGTCTTGGAAGCCTTGCATGCTAACAACAAGCATCACAGACAAGAAACAAGTAAAACTTTCTTGCTGAAATTAGTTAATTTCAACTAAGCAGGCTGATCATGCCAATGCATTTATATATTCGAATTTTTATTTACACAGCCTGCTCAAACGAACTTAATCTAATGCCACATTTGCTTCAAATTGGTCGCAATAATACTATAGCATTGCATAAATATACTTATTATATGAGTATTGAATTTTATACGCGATAAAGTTGTCGAATAAAAACCATATGCCTAAAATTTCTGAGGATCTCATTGGACATACGACATTTGCCACTAGTGAAGAACGCCGTATTAGCCTTCTCATTGGACGTACGGAATTTGTCACTAGTGAAAAATTTTGTATTTACTTTTTCCGCCGCGCCACTGGCGTACAAGAAAACAACAATCAGTTTTTTTAGATATCCATTCGACTTTTGATTTGAAATGGCTTCACGCTTCGCAGAGACACCATCCGTCAGCGAATTCATTGAACAACAGGAGAATAATAATACAAGAATTTTAAAGTGAACTAATTCATTTGTTGTAGCTATTGTTGTACTTTTTGATGCATACTATATATGTTTGAAACGTTTGGTTTGAATTGTGTCTATCGTTCAGCACTTAAATTTCACTCTAATATATAATAACTCATATAATAAACAAATTACTTCATGGTTGATTCGCTTGTACGATTTTTATTATGCACTCGTTGCGAACAATTCCTATAAACTCACTCGTTCGCTGCGCTCACTCGTTCGTTTATAGGAATTTTTTCGCAACTTGTGCATAAAAATCGTATGCGCTCATCAACCATGAAGTAATCTCTATTTCTAATGCTTAGATGTGCATGTAGATTATGGAAATACTTCAACCATAGACAAACCATAAGTCACAACATAAGAAAAACAGTCAAAATAATTTGTCTCAAGACACCCCCCTGTTTAAACCCCCCCCCCGGAAAGAATACATAAATGCGTTGTTGTACAGGGGTACAGAGTAATTGTAGTTGAGAATTGAACGGGAAACTATAGTTGACAACTAAACTATAGTTGGGCTAGTATTCCAAAGGTCGTAGGTTCGAATCCCACCAGGGCCGGGCATATTTTTCAAGCTCACCCGGTGTGGATATACACTCAGAGTAACACCACAAATATTATAGTTGACAACCTTTGCTGGGTATCGAAATTTGACTAAGTGCCATGTTCTTTTATAGACAATCATGGAAATTAATTCGTAGGCAAAACAATCTTCCAAATGTTCCCCCTTCCCCCTATACAATGTTGATGTATGCATGAGTTCTCTGCCAAATGTCTATGTTATGATCAACATTGTGTTTGGGGGGGAGGGGGGACTATTTTGGCAGTAGATATTAGCATCTTTAACAAATGGCCTCCAACAATGCTAAATATGTATGCTTTTTATAAGAAGTCTATACGATTTTTATGCATACGATTTTTATTTTTATACTCCACATATTCATAAACCCACACAAATAACAAATCACACAGCAACACTTATTGACAATATATTTTTAAATTCTATTAAGTATCATACTATAAGCGGCAATATACTTTCTGATATATCTGATCATCTTCCCAACTTTCTTATTATTAATCAACTAAATGCATTGCCAAAAAATTTCAAAATTTATAAAAGAGATTATTCAAATTTAGATGAGACCGCTTTAATTGATGAAATACAGTCTGTCAATTGGGAAACTATTTCCCTCATGACTGTGATGTTAATATTATTTTTGACAGGTTTTATTCTACAATTGCAGATATTATAGACAAGCATGTCCCTGTTAAGAAGCTTAGCAAAAAACAAATTAAGTTTTATTCTAAACCTTGGATTACACCTGGTATTAAGATTTCTATTAAAACTAAGAATAAGTTATTTAAAAAATACCTAAATAATAAAAGCCCTGATTACAGCCATAATTATAAATTATACAGAAATAAATTAACTAATCTATTAAGAGTTAGTAAGGAGAAATATTTTAATAGTTATTTTATAAAACATAGTAAAGATGTTAAAGCTATTTGGAGAGGCATAAAAGACTTAATTACACTCAAACCAAAACATTCAAACGCACCGTCTAAATTGATTAAAAACAGTAAAGAAATTGTAGATGCTCAAGACATTGCCAAAACATTTTATGAATATTTTTCTAATATAGGTAATCACCTTGCTAGTTCAATTCCAAGTACAAATGTCCCACCATTAAGTTACATGAACCCTCCACAAACTTCTAGTGTCTTTCTCAGTCCCGTTACAAGATACGAGATAGAACAAGAAATTATCAAACTAAATCCTACAAAAGCTACCGGGCCATTCAGTATACCAATAATTACTTAAAATACTTAGTACATATTTATCAAAACCATTAGAAGTACTCTTTAATCATTCATTTGTAACTAGAGTAGTGCCTGAAAGCTTCAAGTCAGCATGTGTAATGCCTATATTTAAAAAAGGTTCTCAAACTTGTGTCAACAATTATCGTCCAATCTCCCTGTTATCAATTTTTAATAAATTATTAGAAAAATTGATGTGTAAAAGGTTAACTAACTATATTGAAAGAAGAGAAATTCTTTATAAGGGACAATTTGGATTCAGGTCAAAGCACTATGGTGGCCGAGAACCGCCATAGCGAATTTTTATATATTTGTATATTTTCAAAAATAAAATAGTTTAAAAATTAAAGTGTAAACAAAATAGAAAAAGAAATAAAATCAAAATTAAAATAAAACAAAAATGATTTCAAAACAAAATCAAATGAAAATCGAATGAAAATGAAATCACTGATGGCCGAGAACCGCCATAGCCCGCAATACTTGGTAGTCTAATTGTATGCAGTTGGTCATACTTCATATAAGCTTAGCCACAATTGAAAATCAAAATGGCACGTATAAGAAATAATAGTTGGCAAGATGATTTGCAGCTGAAGGAGGCTTTACAACATTATATAAAGAGCGGTTTAAACCGTACAGAAATTCTCGACTTTATGCAAAGAGACTTCAGCCAGTACGCATGAGTCCAAGGACATTAGATCGGCGATTACAGCACTTTGAAATACGTTGTATCAATAGGAATATTTCAGTTGATCAAGTTCGAGATGCAGTTCAGGAGGAATTACAAGGTCCTGGTAATCTGCTTGGTTACCGAGCCATGCATCAAAAGCTTAGACAGCTCCATGACCTTGCTGTACCAAGGGATTTGGTGCATGATGTTATGTTTGAATTAGACCCCGAAGGATTAGAATGCAGAGCTCCAGGCTTTAAAACGAAAAAGAAGAAGGGAAATTTCACGTCGCCTGGACCAAACTTTGTACATTCGCTCGATGGCCACGACAAACTTATGGGTTTTCAGAACAGTACTTACCCTATTGCAGTATATGGTTGTCTTGACACATGTAGCCGGAAAGTACTGTGGGTGAAAGTTTGGAGGAGCAATAGTGACCCAAAGCTAATTGGTCGTTTTTATCTCGAATACCTGTATGAGCAGCGCACCATTGCAAGCATGTTAAGAGTGGATAAAGGCACAGAGACTGGTGTTATGGCCACCATGCATGCATACTTACGCCAACAACACGGTGATATGGATGCTGGTGAAACAGTGCTTTTTGGGCCATCTACATCAAATCAGGTAGAGTGCATTTGTAGTAATGTAAAGTAGACAATTTATTTAAAATGTGCAATCACACAACTAGGTAGGGCCAGCCAATGCAACGGTCCCAGGTTCAGGTTGTGTAGAGGTATTGTAAGCATTACTTACAATATTCAAACCAAAAATGTATCCAAGAGTGTTCCAATTTATTTATTCTGAGAGGGATTTGGGAGACCACATATAATATTAATTGATATTTATTGATTATTAATTGATATTTTTTGCATATCACATGTTTGGATATTGTGGTAACAAAATTTGAATAGGGAAGAAAATTTGGGCTATTTATTCACTGAAATGAAAAAACCACATACCAGTACTCATGCAGTGGCAAACATTCAATAATTCTGTAATATATTAACATATAACATTCAATAATTCTGCTTTGATGCATTACAGATAGAACGGTGGTGGAAAGAATTACATGAAAGGCTAGAGAAATATTATAAACAACCACTGTTATGGCTTAAAGATCAAGGAAATTATGATCCTCAAAATGAAACACATAGGTAGATACTGTAACAACCATTGTATAATATATATATATATATTATTTTTGCATTTAAACATTCTGTATGTTCATGCAACACCAATATCTATAAACAATTTTGTAGGTGTCTATTGGCTTACATAATGATACCTTTGATTCAGAAAGAAATCAACAGTTTTGTTCTTCTATGGAACAGTCACAGGATAAGAAAACAAAGTGATACAGTATTGCCAGATGGCATTCCAAACCACATATATAATTTCCCCGAAAATTATGACCTTAGAGAATGTGGTATGTATGCAAACAACTCTATTTTGGCAAGTTCTACCTGCTCATGCATATGTTTAGCAATTAACAAATTGTAGTTCCTTCTTGCAAAAGCTATTCATGTTTTTGAAGAAGAATTATTTGTTTATGTGTACTGCTAACATGGGAAAACTTGAAAAGTGAGAAATATTTCTATTGTTTTGGAAAGCCAAACTTCTCTAGTAAAACCTGCTGACTGTTATGCCTATGTTTTTTATTAGAGGTACCATTGATAAAAAAAGTAACATATGGTTTCTTGTGTTCATACTTTGTAGGTTGGAAAGTTAGTGATGAACAGCTAAGAGAAGTTGCAGAACTGTCAGGAGTATTACAAGTACATGATGACTATCTGGATTCAGTTTTTAGGGCACAATGTGAAAGATTACTACCTGACCCATCAAATTTAGAGCCAGCAGATTGTGGGACTGCATTTCTCTTTCTTTGTGAACATATATAAATTATTATAAGGGTTCTTCTAGACTGCAAGCAGTCCCTCGGGAGAAAGAAGGACTACTGACAACTCATCAAGAAACGAAATATGTGTTGCCCACACAACGCAAAATTCCCATTGGTTGAAATCAATACACCTGTCAATCAAATCTGGTATGTAGTAATTAAGCTATAAATGATGTTCAGACTTGAAATGGGACTTGCGTCAAATTTTTTATTTTCTTTAACGAAAATGCTCTTAAGGTTACAATATATGATGAGACTCTGATTTTGTCCAAAAAATTTTTTTTATATATTTATATTAAGTAATGATATATCTCTCAATTCCAGCAACTTTTTTAAGAAAATGTTAAAAAGCGACCGAGATATAGGGGGAAATGCTATGACCACTGAATAGCTTCGCGCGTAATTATGATTGACTCAAATTGTCAGTCTGACCTCTTGCGGTTAAATACAATTAGTAAGGAAACGTCTAAGCCAAAACGCAAAGCAGTAGAAAAGTCACCGAAGTCAGCATCGCGCAAGCTTGAACTTCGAACTATACTATAAGCTTTCTAATGTTGTCGCAATGATATATGCCTCCGAACTTTAACTTATACTTTAGTGAATTTCACACCTTGATATTTGACGCCAGCAAAGTTCACACTTTGTGGTTTGGCCACAAGTGGATTAACATTGAGGGCGGAGAAAATGAGCCAAATCTTATATGGTCGTTTGAAGACAAAGCAAAATTACCCAATCTCCTCGACAAAAAAGAGTTTAACGACAGAGCGTTTTATCCGATTCGTCCCAAACTTGACCACAATGTTAATAATAAAGGAACAAAAGTGTGTTCGCGTTTTCGATTTAGTGCATTATTTTTCAATTTAGAAGCATCTCTTCAACCGCTTATACCCGCGCAAGATAAGTCAAGTTGTCTGCTTTATATCAAAGTGAATACAATAGCTGTCAAAAAATGCGAACACACTTTTCTTCTTTGGACATTTGAGATGAGAAATATGATATTTTGGGAGCTCCTGAGTTAAACGGTCTGTCGTTAAATCTCGTGGCGCAAGAGGTGCTATTTTTCAAAAGATGTCTCATTGCGACTACAGGTTAAAAAGTGGCGAATTTTGGTTAAAGCAGTAGCTTCTACAGTTAGTTATCATTGCATGTACCAAATTTGAGGAACGTAACTAAAAAATTGGGCACGCAGTGACAATTTTTCTGAAACAGGAATCTATCATATGATGTAACCTTAAAACAGTATAATAACTTGTTTTTAAGATTTTTGTTTCCATGCTTAGTTCTTGAGATGTTTAATTTTGTTTTGTACTTTGTAACCATGTGACGTCATTGACTCAATTACATATATAAAATTAACAAATGCGCCACATCTTTGAAAAGATTTTGATAAAAAAATAGCAAAAGATATACAACAATTACTGATATCTCATTATACATGTAATTGAGTCAATGACGTCACATGGTTACAAAGAAAATTAAATATCTCAAGAACTAAGTATGGGAACAAAAATCTTCAAAACAAGTTACTATACAGTTTTAAGAGCATTTTCGTTTAAGAAAACAAAAATTTTGACAAGAGCGAAAAGTGTGTGTATTTCATTTCTTGATGTGTTGTCCTTTCTTTCCCCTCTCACGCCCGGGAAGCTAAACTCATGGAACGGAGGGGCTGCTCGCAGTCTAGAGTTCTTTTAACTCTTGGGAGCAACTGAACAATAATAACACAATAAAATGTCATATACTTTCAACCATTATGTTCTTTCCATGCTTGGTTGCATTCATAACTAAACCAGTATAAAACTGTAACTCTATATATGGAGTAATATTAATTGAACAATAAGAGTTGCATATATAGTTTTGACCACTACATTTATCCTATGCTATCGAATTCAGTCCAAGTAACTGGCAAAATTTGTTGCACTTATGGTTCTGAACAAATGTTTTGATTGCGTCGGCACTAAGATTTCCAGCGCAAAACATAAATTCATTTTCCTCACCAACAAGCTTTTTTGAGGCTACTTCTGGATCAAACAGCATATGACTGCTCCCTTGCAGATCAAGGACCATTAACTGATGATTGGACTTCTCATATGAAAAGTGGACCAAGCACTCTGCTTTTTGGCCAAGCAAATGGCCACTGGAAACACATAGTTCTCCTGTGTTATTTACATACTTAACAAATTCGCCCTTGATGTACCGCTCAATTGTTATGCATTCACCTGTACCTTGTATCTTACCAAAGTAGACCATTTGAAACTGCATGACAGGACCAAACTTCTCACAAATATTCTTCTGCTTCACAGTTTTTGAAAGCTGATCAGCAAAATTTTTGGAAAGATGGTGCATCTGAACTACTTTCTTAGTTTGCTCTTCCATAGATTGGCCAAGATCATTTGTCACCTCATTGACAACTTTTTCTAAGTATCTCTTTACGACCCAATCTTTGCCTTCAAATCCAGCAGTGTTGCTGCTAGCTTTGTAGGCTTTACGGAAACCACCTTAAATAATATTTATAACATTCACAAAAAGCTATCATTCTTCAGTAGGTTCCTGAGAAACAAAATACTAAAACTATAGTGTCATACAGGATTTAAATATATTTATGTACCAATCAATTTATACTGTTAACATCCCCCCCCCCCCGGGGGGACCCCAAACATTTGACACATTGCTCTATACCCAGAGTAAGAAATTTGACCTTTTGAACAGCTGTTAGAGTAGGGTATTTGACGCTGAGTCACAATACATGGGGCTTGGAGTATACTTTAAATACATCCTGGAAACTTTATAAAGCATTAGGTAATAATAATAATAATTTAATGCTAATATCGCGCAAATTTACATTCATGAAATGTTTCATGAATGTTTACAGTATACATTGGGTTAGTGCTATTTTCCATCCAGCAAACCGCCCTATTGAAATTTTCTAAAGCTGTTTCTTTTTGCATTTTTTTTTATTATTTTGGTTAGGGATAGAACTAGGGTTGCGGTTAGAGTTGGGGTAGGGTTTGAATTAGTTACATAGCCATTTAAAACCTCTTTCATCTTCCCGATAATGACATCAGGTTAATTTGCCAGATGGAAAAGAGTGCTAACCTATAAATTGATTGGCGCCTTATACTGTACCTTCTCCAAGTACAGAATTTTCAACAATAAATTCCACTGTAATTGATTGGCGCCTTATACTGTACCTTCTCCAAGTACAGAATTTTCAACAATAAATTCCACTGTGGGAGTACAGACCAGGACAAACTGCTAAAATCAAAGCTGAACACGTCAATGATCATTGTGTGGGTTGTATCAGCAACGCTAGGCTTGATTAGCTTTCCCAGTTTGATCATTTGTGATACTGTCAAGCTTTTGGGGGCAGGCCTTTTTGCAGCAGACGATGAACATCTTTCACTTTTAATTTTCCTTTTATCAGGGCTTTCTCTCAAATGAACACATTCACTCATGAAACTGAATGCGGGATTTTCTTCTCTCATAATACCTTTGGATACAAACGAAGTGGATGGCCGATTTATTTGTGGTTTGATGAATCTGACATGGACTACTTTAAGATCACGAACATGTTCCATTGATAAGCAAGAGGGTCCTTGGTCTCCTGCTAATACGTCACATTTTAATCCTTCCTCTGACAAGGACTTGTAATGTCTTTCGCATGCCGCTTTGATTGCATGAATACTGACTTCTTCGTTAAATGGGACAAACTCACGTGCCCCAATCCGGCTGTATTTTTGGGCTTTGCCTGATACTTCCGAGCTCAGTCTTTGAACTACAAGTTCCCCGTTACGTACAATCAGATCTCCGGCGCTCAAACCTTTTTTGTTTACGGCTGGTTGTCCTTTTTTACATCGCTTGTCTTTCATTTTCTCTCTAAAAACATCCCACGTGTCTTGTTTCTTCGCCGCCATATTGAATTTAAGTTGAATTGTGGCTAAGCTTATATGAAGTATGACCAACTGCATACAATTAGACTACCAAGTATTGCGGGCTATGGCGGTTCTCGGCCATCGGTGATTTCATTTTCATTCGATTTTCATTTTCATTTGATTTTGTTTTTAAATCATTTTTGTTTTATTTTAATTTTGATTTTATTTCTTTTTCTATTTTGTTTACACTTTAATTTTTAAACTATTTTATTTTTGAAAATATACAAATATATAAAAATTCGCTATGGCGGTTCTCGGCCACCATACTAGTCCATCCTCATTATAGTATTCTAGTCTTTATGAAAGAATACTAAGGAGACGGCATCTATTGTAGACGTGTTGTAAGTCACTTAAACCACTTACATAGTCGTGTCGGTTGTATCATATCCGACTAAAACAGTGTTCGCGCTCGCATTTTTTAAAACTGATGGGAGTGCGCAGCGCGAGCATTTTAGCTATGATCAGAAAACACGACTGGAAGTGCTAATTTTAATAGTATATAACTCATGGCGTTACTATATTGTGTATTAAGTCTGTATTACATTCCTTAACGTTATCTTATAGTATAACATAATGGGCAATCTTCCGTTCCAGTAAAATTCTTTCACTTTCATAGTCTTCATTCTCATGCCAAAATATAAAATTATAACTGAACACATTTTCTGTTTAGTTGTGCAATCATTTTGAGGCACTTCAGTCAGGGAGAGAGGTATGACTACAATTTATTGATAGAAAAGACTGTCATGAGTAATTTGATGAAATACGACTTCGTTCACTTAGGCCATAAATCTCCACAATGTTGATATTGACTAAACCTATATATCTTGAGGAATAAGGAGATATTGTTTCACTGAATTGAATGGTGCCGTTATTTTTGTCCTTGTTGGATTCACTGAACTGAAGTTATGAAGCTGGAAAGTTGTTGCTGAAACCATAGCGCAACGTCATGGTTAAATCTGGACGTCATGTATATAATGATTATTAATCTTATCTTTTCTCATGCATAGCCGTATAACAATAGACAATCTTCCGTTTCAGCAAAATTCTTTCACTTTGATAGTCGTCTTTGTTATAATTATGCAAAAAATAACTGACAAAACACATTTCCTTGTCAGATGTGCAATCATTTTGCAAGACACTTTCAACGAGAGCAACTTGAAGAAAACTAAACTCAGAGAAAATTTATTTGGTAAGGTTGTACTGATAAATGTAAACTAACTGGTGCATGCAGTATACTGTTTGATTCCTACATAGATATATTTGATTCCTTTCAACAGCTTAAGCTTGATCTTATTCTGTTTCATATATAAGCGCGCGGTTTATACCGATAGAAACTATAATAACATAATTGATTCAGTTATATCATACTCAAGTGCTTGGTGGGTCACAGACACAGGGTCAGCGTGCTCTTTTAAATCTTAAGCTCGAATAAAAGTATGGAATTTCTGCAACAACAAAAAATCTTTTCCAAAGGAAAATAAAGGGACTAATGGGGCGAGCCAACATGTCTTTATTTACATTTTTCATTTCCTCAGAAAACATGAGAACTATATAAATGTACTGTATAGGGGTAATTAATCTATGAACCAGTAAAGCCATCTTAAAATCTAATTTGGATAATAAGAGTATTTCAGGACTCAAATGACTCGGCTGACATATCTGAGAATATTGGATTGCCTCGAAAATAAATTACCAAGACACTTTGAATAGTGGTTGCATGGCTTTTTTTATTAAGGAAATATAACTTCTCCGACATCAGAAGGCCGGCAAGGATGATGAAGCAATTTTGATGTCACAGTGTAGGTTTCAAACTTGAGTTAAAAATCGTGCACCTGGGCTTGTATTCTATATCACTGTGCAGGACAAGTAAACTTATCGAGCGACATGAAGTGAGGGCGGGTGTTCAACCATTTTCTCAGCCAAAATTTTGTCTGAATGCCAGTCACCCGACCCACTGATTACTGCCAAATTCCATTCTCAACAGGAAACTTTCTGTGTTGCTGGTACAAATGGCACAAATCCCATTCTTATAGTGATCCAAATTCTATTTTTCCGCTGACAATATAGGCTACACCCATTTTATTGACCCCTTCATGCACGAGCTTCATTACTAATACGTATATATACAACGGAGCTGCCTTCTTAATTATTATTATAAGTGTAATGAATGTTTTCTTCGCTCAAACTATCCCTTTAATGGTGAAAAAAAATGTTTGATCTATATTATGTGGGTTTACTAAACATGACCATTTTTATGAAAAATGTTGAGCATGCACTTCGGCTCCGCGCATCCTAGTTCTTTTATAAATGACCGATTACATCAATTATTAACTGGCTTATGTTACATATATACTCTGCCTAGACAATTTATCCTTACAACATTGTGACGTATACATTACTTTCCTAGCTATGTTTATCCAAATCAACCCTGCATGTCCCACGATTTTCGGCGGCACAGCGTTGACCCTTTTCACGAAATACAGCGAAGTCAATAGTCATAAATAACTAACAGTATAATCTAGGGTAATAATAGTATAATTACTTCACACTGTTTGTTGTTGTGGACAGTATGTTGAAAATAAATTTATCCGGTTAAGTATAATTCTCTGACCGTTTTAAGGCACAAGTAGGTGTCCCTCGTGTCCTTCCGTTTCAGCAACCTCTTTATAAAGCTGGAGATAGTATTCAAATATATTATAACGATTATATAAGGAATTAACCTGTACTTATTTCGCAAAAATTTTTGGACTTTGATTATTTTACTGAATTTTAAGAAGATATGAACCTGCCTGTAAAGATTAAGTTATCTCATCTCGTATAGTATATAGCAATAGACAATCTTCCGTTTCAAGAAAATTGAAGAAAATATTAATTCGGGGAAATTAACCTCTCAGAGAAATTAATTTGGTAAATTGCATGCGACTATGTAAACTAATTAATGCAGTATATTTTGATTCCTTTCAACGGGCTTTAAGTTGATCTGTTTTGTATATAAGCGCGCGGTTTGAACTGATAGAAACTAATAACATAATTGATTTATTCTCGACTGGTGGGTCAGCGCGCTCTTATAAAAATTTGCTATATCTTAAGCTCGAATAGAAGTATGGACTTTCTACAACAGCAAAAAATCCTTTGAAATGGAAAAGAAAGGGAATATGGGGCGAGCTAAGATGTGCATATAATTTATTTATATTTGTCATTTCCTTAAAAAAGAACTATAAATAGATGCATGTACTCATGTATAGGAGTATGCTTAATCTATGAACCAGTAAAGCCGCGTCTTAAAATCTAAATTGGATAATATTAAAATCTAAATTGGATAATAAGAGTTTTTCAGAATTCAAATGACTGACAAATATAACCACTCACCATATTGGATTGTTTCGAAAATAAATTAACAAGACTTTGATGAAGCAATTTTTATGCCACAATTATTAAAAGTCGTGCATCTGGGCTTGCACTCTGTCACTGTGCAGGACTACATGTCTTTACTGGGGGACATGAAATGGGAGCGGGTGTTCAATCCCTTTTTTCAGCCAAAATATCGTCTGAATGCCAGTCACTCGACCCAATCATTTGCCAAATTCCATTCTCAACAGCAACATTGCTCTTACAAATGGTGCAAATCGCATTCTTAGTGATCCAATTTCTAAATTCCCAGTGAGGATATATGCTACATACGTATACGTATATACCCATTTTATTGACCTCTTCATGCACGAGTCTTATTACTGATACTACATACTGGCCACGGAACTGTCTTCTTAATTATTATTGTAGCCATGTGTGTATAGCGAATGTTTTCTTCACTCAAATGCATAATTTAGTGGTGAAAAAATATGTTTGATCTATATTATAATTCATATGTTAAGCATGGCCATATGAGTCCGTAGCGAAATGAGGCAGGTAATGATAACTATAATAGTATAATCTAGGGTATAATAATAACTATCACACTGTTTGTTGTTGTGGATTATATTGAGAATAAATTTATCGCCGTAAATCTCTAACTGTTCTAACACCAGTAGGTGCATGACAAAGCCCTTGGAGATATTCAAACTGATGATAACGATTACCGAATTTACTCGATTGAGCGCCGCCCCCGGTTGAGCGCCGCCCCCGAATGAGCGCCACATTTGAGATCAATTTTTTTTATAGAGCGCCGCCCCCGAATGAGCGCCGCACTAAACAGTGTAAAAACTTTCCGCCGTCAAAATGGAGACATTTAGTAACAAAGACATTTAAAACTTGTGTATTTCATTGTATTTCATTGTTATAATTCACAACTAAAAGATTTTTTTAAAGAGCGCCGCCCCCGATTGAGCACCGCCCCCGAATGATCGCCGCATCTGAAGCTCTGAATTTAAAGAGCGCCGCGGCGCTCAAACGAGTAAATATGGTATAAGTGGTTATATACAACCACAGTTAATAGGTCTATTAACTTGTCATACAACTTATTTCGCAAAAATGTTTTAAATTTTGCTACGTTGAGTTTGAATTACTGAATACTGAGTATAAATGCTTGAGTATGCTCAATTACTGTATACAGCCATTGCCTTTTTAACTATATATCTGGGTGGGGGGAGGGAAATTCCCCCCGAGGGAAAGAATTTGCTCCCCCCCCCCCGTAAAGCCATTTCTGCCCCCGAAGTGCGAAGCAGATTTGCTCATGATTGCTGTCAGAATTGCAGTTGATTTACTTGATAATGAGATTATGCCCTTCCATAGCCTCCTCCACAGCCATATTGTGTGCAATTCATATTGTTCTTCATCGAGTATTTCATAAGAGCGATAGATTTCATGCAAGCAATCCGATAAAATGCTTGTTCCAAGAAGAATAGATTTAGTTTAGATTTTTAACTGTTAAATACATGTATGCATCATGATCATAGCATGAATATTTCTTCTCAGATTTATTCTGTATGAAAAAGCAACGCAATTTTGAGAATGCGGAAATGGTGTCTCATAGAACCTAAAATTAT